GTGCTCATGCAGAGGACTGCTGAGGACAGCAGGGCCAAAATCAGCCCCACAGCATGAAGGAGGCTGCAGCAAATGTTGCCCCAGGCAGAGGATGGTCCATATCAGGGGCCATTGCTGGGCTCCCTGGCACAATGTGCCAGACTCCCCCAAACCTGTGCTCAGCCTTAGGGAGGTCCCCTCATCCCCTTGTACACGATGCATGCTCCCAGGTGGGGAGCTGTGCTCAATTCACCAAACTCCTCTTCGTACAGCAGTGCCGATGCCCCGCCATTGGCATAGTGCACTAGGTATGAGAAGAGTATCTATCTGAGCTGCATATATGGGCATGCAAGTGGATGGAGAAGTTATTGGAGGTTGGGGCTTCATCAGATGGGAGATAACCCTCCTGATAATGTCTCAAAAGGTGTTTGCTGCACCGATTGGCCCTCCTGGCACTGGGACTTGCATCTCTGCCTATATATTGCCATCTCCAGTAAGGGGGCGGTGGTGGTGCAGGAGCCAAGCAGGAGCTGGGTATTGTGTGTGCCTGGAACCAACTCCTTGTGGCACTGTCCCTCAGCCTGCAGCCCTGCAACTCCGCTGGGGACACCCACATCACCTGCGATGAGAAGCCTGGAGGCAGCACAGGGCCTCCCACGCCAGCCACGGCAACCATCTGTCCAGATGGCACGGCCTGCACAGGTGGCGCTTCCAGGGCAGGGCAGCAAGGTGGCTCCAGGAACAGCGCAGCTCCAGTCTGCTGGAGGGGGAGCCGTTCTGCCAAGAACCCAGCTGCCTGGGGACTGCCCCTTCTGTCTGTGCCAAATTTCTGACTGCAGCAGTCAGATCCCAGGCAGAGGGGTGTCCGCCTCAGCCTCCCTGTCCTCACAGCTTCTCCCCTGCATTGCCATGTATGTCCACTGCTTCAGAGATGTAGGATGGGAGAGAGTCCCTGCCCTCAATCCAGCTGTGCCACATGTTGCTGTCCTCACAGATCATAGAATCATAGAATCATAGAATGCTTAAGATTGGAAGGGACCTCTAGAGGTCATCTAGTCCAACCCCCCTGCACACACAGGGTCACCTAGAGCACGTGGCACAGGACTGCGTCCAAGCAGGTTTTGAAGATCTCCAGAGAAGGAGACTCCACAACCTCTCTGGGCAGCCTGTTCCAGCGCTCTGTCACCCTCACTGTTAAAAATTTTTTCCTTAAGTTCATGTGGAACTTTTGGTGCTTCAGTTTGTGGCCATAACCTCTGGTTCTGTCAGTGGCCACCAGTAAAAAGAGGCCAGCACCATCCTCCTCACTCCCTCTCTTGAGGTACTTACATACAGTGATTGGATCCCCTCTCAGCCTTCTCTTCTTCAGGCTGAACAGGCCCAGCTCCTTCAGCCTCTCCTCATAGGGCAGATGTTCCAGGCCCCTGATCATCCTTGTGGCCCTGCACTGGACTCTCTCCAGCAGCTCCACATCCGTCTAGTACTGTGGAGCCCAAAATTGGACACAATACTCCAGATGCGGCCTCACCAGGGCTGAGTAGAGGGGCAGGATCACCTCCCTCGACCTGCTGGAGACG